GCCATTATGAAGGCCAGGGAAGTCTGTGGCTTTTGAAACCTGTCTACCTGTGAAGGCAGGCATCTTATCTCGCAGAACCAGAGGCAGGCAGTGGCTTCCTATGATATAGAGAGAGTGGAGCAAAGAGACAAACAGAAAGAGATAGAACGATTGAAACCATTAGAAGAGAAGCTCCCGGCACTATCCGCACTGCAATCAATGCGGATATAGTACCCACAATCCTCCTCTCCCTCAGAGACATCCCGTCCCACAACACTGGCTGGCTCTGACGGAGCAGTAGAGTATATAGCTGCCTCTGAAATGACAGCTTAACTACAGGGAAAGGCCTTTTGCTTCTGTCTATTTTATCTTGGCCTCTCTCTACACTACTCTTGATATCGGGGACAGGAAACTGTAAAAAGTTTCCTCGTACGGAGGTTTTTACTTGAGGATTTCCAAGTAAGTTGACGCTCACTTTTCTCAATGTTTGCATTTGAGAGTGTTGGTTAAAACAGCAGAGGAATTGAATCCCTCTTTAACAAGAACATGTTCATACACTCAGCATATAAGATGCATAAAAACAGCTTTGTTGCTAACATACTGTGTTCCTGCATTGATTTCATTCAGCATTGAAAACACAACAGTGCAGGAGTGAAAGATCAATAACCTTGTTTTTCAGACCTCACGAATAATTCCAGTCTGGTTGAAAGCCTGGTGGCAGAGGTTGCAGAGGCTTTGCCGTGGTTTTGTGATCCTTGTGTTTTGGTGTGTGAACATGCTTATCAGCTTGTATGATAAGGATGCACACGACTCATAGCTGCTGGTCTAATCTCTCCTGTTTTCACCAAACACCCAGCAAACACACAGACAGGCAGCCTACATCCACTCCAGCCTCAGGCGAGTATGAAAAATTAAGATCCATATTTTTCTGCTCCTCCTTAAACACTTCCGCAGATACACAGCCATGCATTTGAACAACTCCATGAATTTGATGTAATCTCTGCACAGCCTATAATACATGGGTTGCCTAATCATAAAGTATGAAACAACACATATCCAGAGACTCTCTAGAGTGTTATTAACCCCTAATCATTTTATATTATGTTTGGAACTAAATTATCCACCAACAGTAAGTGCTGCCATGTGAACATGTGATTGCTATTATTACAGGCTCTTCAGTATCCAATGAAGTCGGAAAATTGCATAACAACAGATTACAAAGAGTCAATCTTTAATTGAATTGTGCTCTGAAGTCTCTTTTCCATGTGTAATCAGCAGGATCTCGAAGGCATTAGGAAACGATGAGGAATACTAAGATATTACCAACGCAGTAAAAGTCTTCTGTGAGCTACCAAGCTGCTTGAGGCTGTTGTCTCAACCCTTATTGTGTGGTAAGAGTTACTTCCAAGGATGCTTTTTACGTTGAACCATGGGTTGGGAATTATTTTTCAACCTGTGGTTTCCAAGATCAAGAACAACTCAAGTGCAAGTCTTTATTCACGTATTAATAAAGATGTTTTCTGAAATAAATACAAACTATGTAAACCATAAACACCATGTTATCAATTTAAAAGCATCTTTTTATAAAGAATTATTATAAAAGTTAAAGTATCACATGAAGATAAGGTGAAAGGACATTGGGGTTATAATGAATACCAGCTTTTTCTTATTCTGTATTTTCTTTCCAAAGGTCCAAGTAATATAATAAGAGTATATTATAGTTTTAATATAGACATTTCTCTTAAATTATCTAAAATGGTTCAGGTGTCACTTAAAGGTCCCATATCATGGCCATTTCTACTGATCATAATTCCATTGTTGAGGTATACTAGAATAGATTTACATTGTTCAATGTTCCAAAATCACATTGGTTTTCTCATACAGCATCTCTATATAGTATGTGTATTCACTCTCTGTCCTACACACCTTGTTGGAGCTCCTGCCTTGCCTCCCCCCCCCCCCCCCCCCGTCCCTATGAGCCCACTGTGCTCTGATGTGTGTTTATGTGTAACAACGGCGTTTGTTAGCAACCAGAAAAGGACACCAGTAATGACAAACAGATGAGAATGCTGTGTGGGCTCTGGGTGTCGTGTTGGCGGGACGTTGCGGGGCTCGCTGCTGCGCCCTTTGAGGCTCGAGGAGTGGAAAGTGTGAGCTGGCTTACTGGTGTCGTTTCCTGGTTGCTGCATGGGGTCTGCGAGACAGCGAGACACCGCGGAACTCAGCCTGAACTCAGCCTGAACTCAACTCAGGCTGAATTCAGGCTGAGAAATCCACGGAGCCGCGGCTGAGAAAATATAAGGCTGAGTGAGTGTGTGTGTGTGTGAGGAGCTCCACAGATTGGTCCATTTGGACCGGGGCATGGTTACGTCACCATACTCAGGAAGAAAAAAATGGAAAAAGAGAAATCTCCAACGAGGCGTTCTGGGGCAGCATAGACAGGTCTTTTCTGTGTTAGAGTTTTACTCGCTACAGGGTGTACTTTGAGGGTTTTTGACTCTGCAGACCGTTTACATGCAGAAAAAGCTACATAACACACAAGGGGACGGGTATTAACCGGAAAAGCATGACATGGGACCTTTAACTAGTTGACATTTATATGTGGCCATAAATAAGCACTTCTCTGATAACTTGTGGTGCCCCATAGGGCTCTATCTAAGGCCCAATTATTTTCAGCTGGTATGCTACCACTTGGTGATATTATCAGAAACCACAAGAATTATTTCCATTTCGCAGAAGCAACCCAGATATATATCTCTGTAATTGCATAAGATCACAGTTCTAACTTAATTTGATCTCTGATATTGGTCTCTGCACAAAATCTGGAGCAGTCTGCCTGAAGGTCTAAAGGCTCACAATCTGTAAAATAAATCTTAAGACATGTCTTTTTACCATTAATTGTTTTTTTCATAAAGTATTTTTACATGATGCTTGTTTTTTCATCCTGTCTTATCCTGCTGTTTTATTTGAATTTATATTCTTTGTTCTTATTAGATTAAACATAGATGTTACAATAATCTTCTCTCATGTTAAGCACTTTATGTAGCATATAAATAAGGATCATTGGCTTTGTAATGTATTAAGTTAGTTAACCCAAATACTATCTTTCTTTGTACATCTTTAGCAACTTGTGTTGATTAGTATTGAACATAAATGTTGAATAACCAACTTGATGATACTGTAGTGACAGGCTTTCCACCATGTCAAATTGAGTCAATTTCTTTCTGCAGAAATGGCAGGCTGACCTGTGCAAAGCAGAGGGTCTTTGAGTATTGCTTCACCAAGTGGGAGATGGAGCAGTTTTATAAAGGTATACAAACGCCTACTCCTCTCACAACATCAATTGCGTTTCATTTCAGAATAAAACAACTGCCTAAAAGCAGATGATGCTACATTGTTTATTTACAGGTTTTCCAGACTTATATGATGGAGGGGATGCGTGGCATGTGAATCAGCAGGCAAAACACGAGTGTGATCAGTCACAAGGGCCCAGCAGTGAAGAATGGTTATACTGAGAAGGTTGCTGGGTGCCAGAGCTAAATAAATAATCTCTGGGCTGCAGAATTGCAGGAGTGTGGGAGGAGGTCTGCAGGGAGTATGGAAACAGTGATTAATAAAAGCGGATCCACTTATAGAAAATCCACCTTCATTATTTTTCCAGACTTCGGTGATAACTGATCCACGTGATGTTGCACTCTCTGGGTACCACACCTTTGTAACATTACATAACAGTGAACATTGCACGTGACAGTATGCCATTATTATGATGAATTATAATATTTTAAAAAGATGCACAGGGATGATCGCTCTGAATACAAAGCATGGTTGATAAAATATGCATATTTTATAAGGCTTTTATTATTCTTACCATGTAGCTTTTCATCTCACATTTCACTGAACAAGTGAATGATTTACCAGTATGACTGCAGAGCATGACAACTGATTATTTCTCATCACTGATTTCACATCTTGAAATTGCTTTTATGAATGTTAATACTTGAGATGATGAGAGCTAGCAAAATTAGTTTTAGCTCCATGTTGTTAAGATAGCTGCATTCAAGCATACAGTCATGCAAGTTTAGACAATGTAAATTATAGGCACAACAGCAGTGTAATTATAATCTGAAAAACAAAACAATTATGCTGCACTCAGTCCACATGCTCGTGTATAAAAACACATACAGATTTCTGCTAATTGGACAACCTGCTGATTCTTAAATGGGCCACTGAATGAAAATGGCTCTGGGGAAATCTATGTTGAGCTGCCACATTGGTGACTAACTAGTGTCAGGTCCATATTCCTGAACTGAAAAGACCACGGTTTTCCAGCTGTGCAGCAGTATGCATATGCCTCTTTTCACTGAACCTTCTCTGTGAAAGGGAAAGTTGTAGCATCACTCACCGATACTCTTTTCTCCCGCTTGTTCTCGACTTCCTCACACATTCACATCACAGTTACATCAGACTACAGCAGTGACCCATGTATCATATAGCAGCAAGGAAGCAGGAGGAAAGCAGGGGAGCTGGAGTCCTTTAATGAGCAGCCTCTGTAGGAGAAGTATTTCACGGTTCTTTCTAACAACCTGCTGTTCATGTCCAAATGACCAATTATAGTCCAATGGCACTGTTCTTACATTCCACTACAAAAAGAGGGTTGAGCTGGGTGAAAAGGAGCTTTACATCATGTTGTTAAAAAAAAATGTGAATAGTATATTTTCGATATGTGCCCATTGGAATTCTATAAGAGGTATTTGCTCATAAAGGTCAAAATGAGCTGTATGGCACATTATTCCCTGTCGGGATTGAAATGCACCTTCAAAAAAGGCCATCAGCATCACACTAATCGATACAATTCCTATCAACACTGAGGGTTATGGGAGGAGCTCTCCAAAGTGCTGAAAAGTGTCCCCTAGCTCTTCTGGGGGGGGGGGGGGGAGGAAGAAACGGGACCCACCCGCTCGAGCCCATTGGTAGGCTACAACGTCACGCGCACATACTACCCGAGCGAGTAAGGTAAATGAATTACAGATGACAGGAGGAGGAAGAGGAGAGATAAAGCTGAGGATGCAGGTTTGGTCCACAACACACAACCTCCCCACTCGCACCACACAGCAAGAGCGGCTACACCTCGGAGACAAATAACTTCCATCAGCTGACGACGAGGAGATGCGTCCGCAAAAGCTTTGATTCGACCCCTTCTACATCCTCCTCCTCCTCCTCCCATCTTTAGCGCGGAGCATCCCGCACACTGGTTTCACTCCGACGGGCAGGCAGACAGGCGGATTGACACAAGCCAGACACGATGTGTGGATCTCCCCGCCATGGGACAGCCGTGGGATTTATAGTGCTGCTGAACGCGCTGCTGCTCGCGACGCAGGCTGCAGAAGGAGTCCTCACGGACCATCTCCTGGTTCAGCTGCACGAGGGCGCACAGGACGAGGCGCACCAACTTGCAACACAACATGGGTTCCACAGTGCCCGCAAGGTAGGGATGCTCGGGGGGAAACTGTCACGCTTTCTGCCACTACGGGAAATATTGTTTTGTTTTTTCTCTTCAGGGAAAAACTTTAAGAATTCATGTCTCATAGCAAACCAAAGTAATTAGTCCTGAAACATAGCTTAAGCTATTTGGTATACTTAACATTATCTTCACTTTCCTCAGAAATAGTCAAACATTGCGCAAAACAAAGCAGTTCAGAGAATAAAGCTGGTTTGACTTCGTTACACTTTGGCTTGATGACGTCATCAAATGCAGGCTCTGGCTAGTAGGTTGACATTGGCCTATAGCCCCGGGGACTAGAAGATCACATCCAGTGTGTGTCCCATAAAGCAAAAGACGTAATTTATTTTGTGGAATAATGTTGTTATCTTCATTACATCACTCACAACATGAGGTTTAGGTTAACCATAGCTTTTAGAAAATTGACAATTCAAACCCATGTGTTAAGTCATTAAATTCCCATAATGAATGGGATGAAATGTGTTTATTTACATTGAATTAATTTGAGGTTCTATTTCTTAACCTTACATTTCATATTGGACATTTCTAAAACATGATGTATTTACATTGCTCATCGTGACTATGGCCTTCCTAGCAGACATGATTTTACTCACTTGAGACATACGTGTATTCAAATAGCTTGAAAAATGCAGCACGTATCAAAACAAGTCAAAAGAGATAACAAGCCATTTATGGCAGACCAATTGATATAATTCCCTGGCAGTGTGTGTGCCTTGTCACATGTCAAAATAAATGTGTGGGTGAAATTGGCCGGAGCCTTAGCCAGTGAGGCGTAGCTGTGAACAGAGAGTGTCTACGCTGCTTTGAATAGGGATTTTCTGATTAGTTTTTTTTACCTCCACAGAAAAAACATTATTTCAGTCTGTAACCCGTCATAATATCATATCTGTGCTAGTCTTGTTTGCTAGTTCTCGCACTAGATAACCCCCCACTCCATCTACTGCCTCCCTACCTCCCAGGTTATGTAATCTGCAGCTATATTTGTCTTAATGGGATAAGCATCATTAAACAATCCGTGTCGTTTGAATTATCTGCTATTGTTGCTTAATTAACAAGACCGGGGCACAGGATCCAGACCCATACAAATGTGAGCACAAAGAGAGATAAAAGCCTCCCTCTCTTTTATTTTGGAGATCAGCAAAGATTAATAAAAAACCGCTTTTGTATTTGCTTTTTTGCGTCACATACATGAGCTTTCATCTATGTTTTTGGGCCACAACAATAGACCTAGAGCAGCGGAAGATGAGAATAATCCTTGTGCTTCCGTGAGAATTTCATTTCCATATTAGATCTGACAGGCGCATCTGCAAGCGTTTATTTTGAGGATTGACCCGTACCCTGGCTGTTACTGAAGCATAGGGGGGTCTTTAATCTGCCGCAGGGAAAGCTCTGGATGATGCTTCTCATTTCCCTGCCCTTGTGGTTTCATTATGGTTAATTCCAGCACTGTTCTCCAGTGCCTTAAAATAGCCCGCACGGGGAAAGCCAGGGAATCAGGGCTCCTACTTCATCTGTAAGGTGACCTGCCGTCCTTCTGTTACATTTGATATGACCATATATTCTGTTATTGCTGCTTCTGTGTTGACTCTCATTTTGGCTTCTGCTACTGATCTCTCTGCCTCTGTTGTTTTTTATTTTACCCAGCTTTCCTTTGGAGAGGGGCTCTTCCACTTCTATCCTCAGGACACTTCAAAGAGGCGGAGCAAACGCAGTGCTCGCAGCAGACAGCGTCTCCAAAAAGACCGCAGGGTAAGCATCCACACACACAGACGCACACTGATAAAAGCACTGTGTGTTTTCTGTACATGTTCCTAAAAGATTGGGGCTACCCCTTCACCTTGCATGACAAGGGTTATTTTTGAGTGTCCATGTATTAAACAGTCCAAAATAGGGCTTCAGCAATACAGTAACAAATCACCTAGCTTTCAAACTGCAGAGCAAACTGAGCTCACCATAGACAGACCACATGGCATTAAGAGCCACTACATACATACAGGACTAACTAAATAAGAAGCCAAAATAAACAAACATTCAATATAGCTAGACAGATAGAAAGAGATATGAGTTAAGAACATAGCATGAGGGTGATAGAATTTAGCAAAGTGCAGCTGTAGAGAAGTTATTAATTTATAATGCAAATGTCGATTCCCATTAATGACACTTAATTGTGTGAGTAGTTTCTGTATGTTTTAATTATTTTTGGTGTAGTGATGATGACGATGATGTCAGAAGCGCTGGTCCCCAGACGGTGTCTTATGATTGTAAGATTTATTAAGCAACTGCCAAGACAAACACTGCCGGTACTTTTTTTTTACATGAAACCGCATTCAAACCGTCCTCACAATAATAATAAAGGATCAACAGAACAATTAAAATGACGTATTTTCAGAAATATAAAATCCCTAAAACCTGAATATACATTTAAATATATTGAGTTGTGGTTCATGTGTGTAAGGAAGGACAGAAGAACAACATTTGTTCATATATATAAAGATGTATCTATGGTCTAGTACCAATATAACTATCATTATCTGTAAGATCATTGATGCCGTTTGACTTTCTTTGATTCTATTTTCAAGAAAATAAAGTGTTTTTGGCATCAGGGCAACTCAAAACCCTGTGGAATGCCACTAATTCAATATCCAGCTCCAAATTACTTATCTAAACTCCCTGTTATAAACATGCCTTTTGGTGATAGTTTTAGATGTTTCTTTGTATTGCTTTGAATCGGGTTCCTTCATATTTTTAGTTTGTGTATTATTTGTGTTTATATGCCTTCTGTAAAGCATTCATAATGAGTAGGTTAAGTCAAATGACAGGCTGAAATAATGTATGTCATTTTGGATGTGGATCACAGTTTCCTAGCGCTCGAGGTGATATCCGCTAATTGCTTTTCCTTTCTCTTAAATCCAACTATAGCACATTCAAGATGCTGGAACCAACACCGGTGTTGGTGTTGTGAAAATACTGAACAGTAGTTGTAGATTAATTGTTTATCGGTGGGCTCAGTGATGAATTGACAAATCTACTTAATACCAAGGATCTGTTGTGTCTTGAAGCTCTAATTTAAATAAACAGTTGGGCTGGGTGATTTGCTGTGTGTTTAGCGCTGCCCACCGAACGAGGCGGTGAAAGTGAAGGTCCTGCTGTAGACAATCAACTAACCCCTCTAATTGCGGTTGTGAAAGGTGCTAATGAAAATATATGCGAGCCACTCCAACAAGCTAATACAGCTAATGGAAGTGTGACAGCGTGGACATGGCCAGGTCTACATTCCAGATGCTGGGTTTTAATCAGATCCTTGACATGCTCATATGCAACACTGCAGTTATTGATTTCTATGCATCACTGGAATGGATGAGGTCAGCTAGCCTGATTTAATGTTGCCTGTTTATCATTCTGAAGTGTCTTTCTCCCATGTCTCAAGGCGGTAGATGTGCATTTCTCAGTTTTACACGTGCAGTTCTGTCAAAAGAAAGGATTTCGTTGCATCTACATTAATGTATACAGTATAGGAGTTTGACATTTCTGTAGTAGTTTTATTGTGTTCATTTAAAGGAGTCAACACTCAATTGAGCAGAAGCCTTGAATGTATATGGATGGATGTTTTGTCCCAGAAGCCCTAATCTTTGTTGAACTCTATTACTGGAGCCTGCTGACCCACTTTTGACTTACCCACTAGCTTCTCCTTTTATTCCTCTGCTTCTTTTTCTATGTGTCTTGTCCTCTGTAGTCCTTTTACAACACATGCCCTACATGGATTTCAATTGAGACGTCTATTCATGCATGTATCCTGGCTTGGCCTGTCCATCCATCTGTGGTTCCTTTCTCTCATATTATTTTTACTTGATACAAATACAATCTATCTATCTGTAAAAGGTGGACAATAGAATAGATCTGTGCGAATGAGCAGCATCCCCGGCCCTGAAAGGCACATGTCTGGGAAAGCCTGGAGGATAAGGACAAGGAGAAAGGAGAGAGGCAGCAAAGCTCTTTGATTTGAAGTGAACTGGAGCGTTGGGAGCAGGCAGTGGGCAAAGGGGCAAAGGCGGCGAGTGATGGCGGTGCACAGGCACTGTTTGATGTTGTGAGTGGGCAGTATGACATGTCGTCTCAAGGGAAATACCAGCTCTCCTGCCAAGTGATGGAATAAAATGATGATGGATGGAGAGAAGGGGGGGGATGCAGGGAGACCTCACTGTAGAAAGTCCTGGTAGTTTCCCTCGGAATGCATTTATGTAACAGCAAATGGGACATAAGGCCAAATCAAAATGAAAAAATACATTATTTTTCACCATTTTAAATCCTCCAGACAGAAGATTAATATGCAAATAGGTTTTTTTTCACAGAAGTGACTTGTCTTTTAAAGGACTTACAGATGTGTCGTTTTACAATGTGTGTGCATCCTGATTGCCTAGAGTATGCCATAAAAGACAGGTCCGGATGAATAGGCTTTGGCCATTTTAAAAGGCCATCTTAAGTGCTCTGCTCTCTTATCTGTGGTGGTAAACACACCGAACAATGACTGTTTCTCTCCGTCACTCTGCAGTGAATTTGCTCATTGTGAGCACAAGAGGAACATTTAGCCACAGAGACGTGCTTTCAAAATGTAGCTGGAAAATACCTTTTTTGTTTAGTATTAAATGATTATCAGTATTTAAGGTAGGATAATTGAACAAAATGAGTGTCCATTAAATGTTTGGAGTGCTTCATTTTATTAAGAGGGCCTTCCCTGTACACCCACACACATACAAAGGATCCAACCTTTCAAATTATATAATTGTTCCTCGGCGACCTTGGTGAAAAGTACTGTTAGTAATAAAGTACAACATACTTCAGACATTGCCAGACTCTAATAGATGTAATGACTCATACTTCCTTTACCTCACTTTAACCTCTTCAGTTTTTCCTAACGTGTGAATGGGGGACTATTTAATGAAAGCTCACAGTAAATTGGATACCATTTAAAATTAGGAATGACACATGTATTGGCTGCTGTTGATTGCTGTCCTCTCCACAAATGCTGACAACGATGAAGGCAGTGAAATATTAGGAGTGTATTAAATACAACACCATTGCCAGTCATTTCGATAAAAGCTGTCAGCTAATAAGGCATCTACATTTCAAGACATTTATCCTCATCATTTATGTCCTCTGTCCTACGTTATCTCCTACTGCTTGCTTATTAGTATTGTGGCAGCTTTCAGTGAGCAATTTCAATCCAAAACACAGCTGTTCATCCGCCTTTAAGTGTCTTTGATGATTCCAAGAAACACAAGCGTATCTGTGAGTGTAATTGCTATGGCTTTTTGTTAAAAATGGACGGGGAGCAGAGAAAAAAAGACTCCATCTCTTGTGTAGCAGGTGAGTTTGGAAGCCTTGGCTCCAGCTGCAGCCCTTCTGATTAGCAGGGGAAGAATAGGGCTTTTGATTTACATGATGCTCTGCCTTCATGGTACAGTAGAGCACAGCTGGCTTTGATGATTTCCTGCATACAGAGCCGCACAAACCTCCATCTCAACCCTCATACCAAGTCCTATTTCTAGTTTACTTACGTGTTCCAGCCGAGTTACCGTTGTGCACTAACAATTTCATTTTGCCCTTTGTATGATCCTTTCAGAAAATGTTTTTGTGATATCATTTCTTGCCTGAACTGACTCTGACCTGGCATTTCTTTTGCTTTTCCACCCCAGGTAAAGAATGTCGTTGAGCAAGAGGGTTTTGATCGTCAGAAGCGAGGCTACAGAGATATCAATGATATTGAAGTCAACATGAGTGACCCTCTATTCACCAAACAGTGGTATCTGGTGAGTTATCAGCCGAGCAGCAGTCTGCATGCAGCCTGACCTTCAGCTCGAACCACCATTCTTCCACCCTAATTACTCAGAGGCCAGCATATTCCCCACTACTTTCTGAATCAACGTTGTTATTCATTCATTAATTAGTCTTGCCAATAAGGTCCGTGCCACCTCATCGCTGCATTCACGCCGCCTAGTTTCCTCCCCTCTTGTTTACTCTAACTGGCAAGCGTGACTTTTACGCTGCAGTTAGCTCGCTGTCACTCATCTCGCTGACATTTACTTCCCCTTCTCACACCCCCAAACAGTCCTTATCCATAGCCTCCTCTTCCCACACACACATGGTCCATGTTGACTAATGTTTGTATGTTGCTCACCTGGGTGCCATGAGTCATGGATGTTCTCCATATTGCCTCTGTGATTAGATAAACACGGGCCAGGCAGACGGGACCCCTGGGCTGGATCTCAATGTGGCTGAAGCTTGGCAACTGGGCTACACGGGCAAAGGAGTTACCGTCGCCATCATGGATGACGGTGAGTGAAAAGTGTTTTACCCTTGAGCGCTCTCTGAAAACACTTAATTATACATGCATATGTTCATCGTACATATTCGATTAGTAACTCTATTTATATCTATAAGGAATGGAAAAAAAAGGTAGTTTTCAAGAGTATGTATGGTAACCACTTACAATTCGGTAAAGTGCATTCGTTTAGATTGTTCGTCATTCTGTGTTAAAAGCGATTCACTGAATCAAAGTGTGATTTAATATGAGACATAAAACTAAAGCTATTCCCCACTGTGCAACGAAACCCAACTTGAAAATCCAACGTTATAATTTTCAAGCCTAAGATGTAGTGGAATTTTCGCAAACTCTAATGAAGCATCTTCAATCCTTTCGGTATATCTCTGAAAAAACATTTTGGAGTTAAAATAGATTCAATATACAGTACTTATCAGTGTATGACCTTTTTGTATAGTGTTGGGAAATGCAGTAGATTAAAATACACAAATATAATAAAGTAAATAATACGATAATGCTTAAAAATCAGGTATCAAATCAAGAAAATAGTAGCAAATTATCAAATTGTTGGCAATTAATTATATGTTGATCGATTAATAAATTGACTATATAAAACTATTTTATAGCCCTTATTATAATCATTAGGTCCTTAAAGTTGTAAAATGCACTAAAAGCCGAGTCTAGATTTATTTTCTGTCTCCATTCATTCTACTGAGCCGAGAGTGGGAGCTCCGGGGGCGGGGCTTAAGGGGCGCATGCTCTGTGAGCGCACATACGGGTTCTTCTGCTCTGACAGCCAGGCATGATGGGTAATCTGTGACGTTTCGCTCTCTCAAAAGTTGGGCCATTTTGTCCTCATGTGCCAATGGGCAGCTCTCATAGGAAAGAACGAGACCCCGCCTCCGACGCTGTATCCAGTTCTTATTATACATCCATGCTTCATTTGCGTAATCCTCCCTCAGGGACTTATTCCGGTGTGAACGCGATCTACTAGATAGTTCAGGAATTAAAGAGTTCCGGGGAATTAAGTTCCGGGAACTATTCCTGGGAAAAGTACTTGGTGTGAAAGCGCCTCTTGTTAAGTTATTTGTTTCCTGAGTAAAGAACCAAACTATATGAAAATGTGGTGAAGAAGACACTGAAGGTCACAGTATCCTCTGTAAAGCACCTCCTCTCAGACTTAATTATATCACTGATTAATGTCAAAATCACATTTCAGGAATCGACTATCTACATCCCGACCTGGCATCAAATTATGTGAGTACTCCAGTCTTATTGGATTTCATATTTTCCTTCCATTTTCTGAAGTGCTGTTAATAAGTGAAGCAGGGGTTCAGGTGGAAGAATGTCATGGGCTTTTTTTGGCGTGCCATTGGCAGTGACAGGTGCTTTCCACGTTGCCTTCATGGCTGCCGAGTCTCCTTGTATTCGTGGAGGACGCAGAGGCAGGCAGACGGCCAGCCAAGCTGTTTAATGTTAATGCACACTGCACTGTGGCAGGCACAATGGCAGGCTGATATGTCACAAGCAGAGATAATGCCAGGGTAGTTGGCGCTGCATAATGTGATGCTCTATCTCCAGAATACTGATAAAACCTTAAAGGACAAGAAGGATCGCTTAATGGAACAAGGAAGCGAAGAAGGCTTAGTGGGTTTGATTATAAAATATGCAGCTTCGTCAGCACGACTGCACACTGCTGTTGTATTGAATCCAGGATGTTTAAATACAAACCTTGCAGGGTGCCTAAGGCTGTTGTTACAGACTGGGTTATGTGATTCGTTTGCCTCAAAACATTGGACAAATACGTCCATTTTCTTATTAAGACATACCAAATTTTTCTTTTTGTGAATATATTGTTGGAAAAAGGTGTTAAAGATTATACGAGTACAGTGTGCTCTCTGTTATGCTTTTCCCCCTCAGCTCATTTGCACACTGTGAGATCCTTTTAAATGTGGCTTGCATAATAGTTGGTTTTTTTTCCGGTGTGCATCAGTCTGTACTCTTGGCACTATGTCTGCCTGCCTTTGCATGTTTCTCGCCTGTGAACAGAGATGAGCCTTGGCCCCAAAAATAACACTCAGCCTCAGCTGGGGTGATGCAGGAGCACGCTCTACTGGAGTGATGGATCACGCTGTGCATAGATCTTGTGTATATTTGTGTGTGAGTGAGTGAGAGAGACACTGTATGTAATCCTGTTTTTGTTACCGTCGCCATGGTTTTTCGCAGATCCACAAAGACCTCCTATCAGCTGTCTTATATTACATTTGAAAAAACACACAATATTGGGTTTATGTGGCATCTGCCATGTGGTTGTGGATGTTTACGTGTACATGCATATCAGCTTTGGACGTGCACGGCCTTTTTTTATTTCAAGACTTCCTATTTGGTGTGATGACGACCTTTAATAAGATATAATTTGATATGGTTTGTTGATTGGGAAAATGTGTTGGCCTGAGATAAGACATTCATAGCTTGCCAGTTCAATTTCATGGCATGTTTGAATATTTTTTTGCACAAATAAAACATAAACGGCAGATTTAATAGCAGATAAACTGTATTATGTTTTCCTCCTACCTTTAACAGTTTTAATAAATGATAACTATCAGTGATTCATTTCTTTGTAATAAAATCGTGATGAAGATTTGACCTTATTCCTGAAGCTACGGAGCTATGAGTGTGCAGTTACTCCTTCCATCTCCAAGTTTGCCAGCACCTGCTTCAATACTGCTATTGTGTTTGGCTACTACAATATTCTGAGGATTTCGAAGTAACCGCAGCATTAATCGGCAGGTGACAGGTTTTTTATTCTGTCTGCAAGTGTTATTACACTCAGGGAAGTTACCATGACAACATTTTATGATGTCACACTAACAATAAATTGATCTCATATGTTGCTTTTGTGTGAATGAGGGATGAAGAGAGAGAGTAATAGAGAGAGAAGTCAAAGTTTCTCAAATAAATTGATAAAAGAGATTGCCGGGGTTTTTATTTTTCTTCCCAGAAGCTCATCGTACGCTGCGACAGAAACATCTTCACATCATGTTCACAACCGCTGTTCCAAGAGCAGATGTAAAGTATCCAGCTTCCCCGACAGCTCGGACCTTGTAAAATAGTTTCTCTGATGTTCCTTTGACTTTAACGCATCTTGCAAAGGACTTTCTCATAAAGTCACATTATGCAGAAATCCTGCTTCTGCTCTCTAGATTACAGATTAGTTGTATCAGTTTCCAAAGGACAGTTGAAATCAGCCATGATAACATGATTAATGGCCCTAAGAGGGGGTGTTTTATCTGTGCTTCAGGAATTAAAAACATACCAAACATCATGACGGGCTTTACTCTGGATTTAAAATATGTGCCTTTTGAGTTTTAGTAATATCGATTTGTACCTAACTAAAAGTATACTGTAAGAATAACAACATATCATTTTAGGTCAATTCAAAATCAGTACAGAAATATCATCTCCAAAAAGGCCACAAGCTAAATCTAGGAGATTGTTAATGGGAGAGAATATTAGATAGTGTTTTCGTGTGTTTGTTTAAATCAATTAAATGAATCTTAGAAGTATGAAGGAAGATAATCACTGTTTAGTAAAACTGCTAATAATAACTCACAGACATCATGCATGTCATAAACGTCATTCTCCCCCCTGCCTTCACTGTGTCTCTCCAAGCTGTCACTACCAAATATAGCTAACATGCTATAAAACAAATGTATGCATCTATTATGCAAGAGCTAAAACGGCAACTAAACCAGTAACTTCAGCTCTCAGATAAATGTAATGGATTACAACATACACTATTTCCCTGTGTAGTGGTGAATGTGGTGGATTAGAAGTAGCAATACGCAGAAACTTGAAATATTTAAGGAAAGTAAAATCATTTTAATTATACTTGAGTAGGGGACAGCTCCTTAGTTCATTCTACTTAAAAATATGTTTCTATCTTATCTATATGATGCTATTCTATATACTGTTTTACAAAAACGTAGCAGCTTTGACTCTTTGCTCTTTGGAGTACTACTCGCTCCCAGAAAGGTGAACAGACGAGGGTTTCCAGGGAAAGGTGAGGTGTCTGAAGCTAGGGACAATCCATTATTACGACCATGGTTGCTCAAAGGACAGCAGAGGAAGAACAGAGTCTGATTGATAGCAGGGGATATGAGCTTGTGAAGCACAGCGAGTGATTCATGGACATACCCCTGTGTCATTTATTACCGGGACTCAGCACTTTTCACTCCATTTAATGAAGGAAGAACTTGAGCACAACACCCGTATGGGGACTAGCATGTTCTCCATTTACACATCAGCTCTCTGTTGATAATAAGAACATTTTTAAGCCTATTCTTGGATTTTTTAAATGTTTAACCAGCTTCACTGCTGATGCTGTACCACTTATAACTCTCCAAGAAAAAAAAAGACAAAGAAAGTGAACAAGTCATCGCTTATGAGGGAAACAGTTGGCATTCGTTTTTCATATTTATCCTCACTTCTCTTTAAACAGTCACAGAATCGACCACCTCTACGTCAGAAAGCCCTTGTCGCCGTAAGCATTGCTTCCTCTCGGAGTCACCTGCTCCACATCGTGATAATTACAGTGTTTCTCCATTGGGTCAGTAAGCCTTGCTGTTTTGCTTTCTCTCTTTGTCACCGACTGAGTCATCTCGTCTAAATGTCAGCCAGCAGAGCTGTCAGGCGGGCGCGTGGAAACAGCCCCCAAGATTGATCTGATGTGTTCAGCTCTATGGCTAATGACCCAGGCTGTGGCTTCTCCATACTCGGACCAAACAAAGCACCTGTTACTGGGTTACAGGGCAAAATAGATACCACTCCAAGGGACATGAGTGACAGGTATAAGGGAGATTAGAGCAGATTGCAATAGCCTGAATGTCTTTTGGGAGTGTTGTACAGAAAGAGCAATAACTGTTAGACTTTCCCGAAGATGTCTGCAGAATCTTGAATCCAACTCTGTGTGATCCTCAGACGAGGCTATTCTGGGAATTATGTTGACTGTATAATGTCTCTCTGGCAGATATGTCTCTCCTGCGTCTTGTTTCTCCAGCTTTTCCGCTGCTGTTCGTTCTTATCCTATTACTTTTGGCCATGTGGAATTAAATGCTGGCAGTGATTGGGCCATTATTTTCTCAGCTAGAAATCCCCGATGTGACCACACATTATTCCAGTAGAGCCGCAGAGTAGAGTAAAGACTTGTAGTTATATTTGAGCTGAGTTTGTTTCCGTTAACTTCTCTAGAAAAACGTTTTTAACAAAACACTTAGAAGCTGCATTTATTACTGGTCTGTCGTATTAAAATGATGGTGTGACGGTTTTATGGAGATTTATTGGCTGAAACTGGATTTTTATTTTTCATCTGTTTTCAAAAGTGTATAACCACCTGTCCATAGTGCCAGAAGCCTCTGCCAGAGAAAATAAAACATGAGCTATAGTTTTGTCTGGTTGCCCAGGGGGTGAGTTATAGTCTAACTTATACACTATAAGTATAAGCAGCATCAGCATTTCACACTAGGAAGCCATGTTTTGGAAAAATCCATCCCGATTCTCCATGAAATGATCCTCTCTGATTCCTCTCCTTTTGTTTTTCTGTCTCGGTGATGTTGTTTTTGTAAATGCATCCATTTGGTCCTTTCAGAATGCCGATGCCAGCTATGACTTCAGCAGCAATGACCCGTTCCCATTTCCCCGGTACACAGACGACTGGTTCAACAGGTAAAGCTCACCCAGCCGACCCCTATCCATATATACACATAGGCAGTGTGTTTTCATGTGCACACTCGCACGCTCTCCCTAGAGCCTGGTAGCTCTCCTATATTGATTTTCTCTTCACATAGTTCCATTAAGGCATAATGGTGCAGCATAAACAGAGCTGTGGTCTGGCACAACACAATAGAAAACATAATATCTATTTTTACCCGCTCACTTGGAGGAGATAAGCTAGATAAAGGACAACTAGTACAAGTCTAGCCTCCTCTCAGTGTTCACATTGACCTTCTGTCTGATAGTGTCTTATCTGCCTAGAATCTCCCAATCACACCGGTGATCCACTGCCACGGCAACACATGTCGGAGAGAGGAACAAAGAGGAATATATTCTTTCTCCGCCTCTCCTTCTCCACCGTGCCTCCATCTGCTCACATGTATCTATATATGTGTGTGTGTGTGTGTGTGTGTGTGTGTGTGTGTGTGTGTGTGTGTGTGTGTGTGTGTGTGTGTGTGTGCGTGTGTGTGGGAGTGAGAAGGGAGTATTTGGGTTTCCCAGTGTAGCAGTTGCTGACTGTCGGGCACAACTCGCTGGCTAATCAGCTGGTTGTTATAAATAGCTGCCTGTCTGTAGCAAAGCATGCTGGGAGAGAGGGTTGACTCTCTGCAGTGTCCCTGTAGGGAGCGGAAGGATGGAGAGATAGACACATCACATGGTGCACACAAAACACTGATATGTGCAAACATATTCATTCGGACTCGGATGAATGTTCGATAAGGGGAAGTCTAAATCTCATTGCCTCTCTATGAGCCAACGTTCTTCAAATCACAGTATTTTCATGATTATTTGATTTGATTTATGGCTACAGAAAATGCTAAACCTCACTTTTTCAGACTGGTTGTAAGTCAACAAAAGCAGAAGTTGCATCTTATCCAAGAAGTCTCATCTCAATTTAAACCACAGTTTATCATTTGTAAATTCATGCAAATTCATGCAGAACCTCCTAAGTATATTCTCTGCTTTTTGCTCTCATCAGTCACGGCACACGATGTGCTGGAGAGGTCTCTGCTGCAGCCAACAATAACATCTGCGGCGTGGGAGTCGCCTACAACTCCAAGGTGGCAGGTGTGTATCATATTCAAGCTGCAGTTTGGACAGTGAGAGGAATGACAATGAGCAGTTAGCAATGATAGAACATAACATTTCTCTATAATGGTACGATGAAGGGATCAAAGGTATGATGATGGTGCTTTACTGTGTACGCATCATGTATTATATATGTTACTGTGGAAGAACATTGTTTGGTATTGGAGCACATTTGAACCGTTTACCTCATAGCATTACTGCAAATGACTCCAGAGGTCAGTTGGAGTCCTCATAGCAACAAGACAACAACATTAAGCTCTATGTTTTTGTTTTTTATGGATCTTCCTTGGGAGTAACAGTAAAAATCAGTAAAGACAGTAAAAAGAGGATGAGTATTGACTGCTTGATTTGTGTGCTTCAATAAAGAGGACATCAATCTTTTGCTATCGTTAAAGGCTTTGATGTTGTTGTATTGTGCTGACGGTATATATTCTGAACCTAGCCAGCTGTGAAAGATTTTAATGAAATGTAGATCACCAATTTATAGCTACCTTACCTTTCTTGGAGGATTAGCAATATATCAAACCACAAGTTGCCATCATTTTGCTATCAGATTCATATGGAGAAATTGCTCTTTCAGGTATCAGGATGTTGGACCAGCCCTTTATGACTGACATCATTGAGGCGTCATCAATCAGCCACATGCCCCAGGTGATTGACATCTACAGCGCCAGCTGGGGACCGACCGATGACGGGAAGACGGTGGACGGACCCCGAGAGCTCACGCTGCAGGCTATGGCTGACGGAGTTAACAAGGTGAGGCTACGTCATACCCGCTCTGCAGAGGGTTATATAATAATGTGCCAAAAAGGAAAGCTGTACATTGTGTGAATTAGGGCTGTGCGATTATGGCAAAAATCATAATCACGATTATTTTTGGTCAATAATTGATATCACGATTATTAAAAACGATTATCCATTTACTTTGAAAACATCCATATATTGAAAAAAAACATTTGAACAGTATGTTTTTAACAGTTGATTACCCTGAACTTTAAGTATAATTCAACAGAAAAAAAAAAAAAAAAAAAAAAAAAATTACATTTATTTATTTTTTAATAAAAATAATAATCGTTTTATTTCGATTACATTGTTTTCGTAATCGTTGCAAGCCAAAATCGTAATCGAGATTAAAATACGATTAATTGCACAGCCCTAGTATGAATCTTTTCCATTTGGATCTATTCGCCGTCTACAAAGTCTGCTTAATTAGCTTGCATTCATTATTTTTCATTGTTATGTCCTTAAACCCAATTGCCATGCAAGGACAGTAAAGCTCCTCACTACTGATACGAAGATAAAAAAGGTCTTTGTTGCTTTACTTCGAGCTTATCCAGATTCATTTAGAGCAGGGGTGTCAAACTAAATGTCATTGTGGGCCACATTAGCATTATGGTTGCACTCAAAGGGCCGGTTGTAACTTTAAGACTATATAAATGTACATATATAAATATATAATATATATTAAATATTGTATTATATTACATGATTGGCTCTGCATTGGATTATTATCAGTTCTGGTAATAACTTCATAAATAACTACGTCTGAATGCAGAAGTATAGGGCAAATAATTGAAAGCAAATATTAAACAATTACACCAATTGTATTGTATATATATTATATTCTTTGCAAGCTCTTGCGGGCCACATAAAATGAGGTCGGGGGCCTTGAGTTTGACACCCCTGATTTAGAGAATAGGGATGCAATTTGGTAGTCAATCCAATATAGCATCCCTAATGTGTTACTCCTTACTCTACAAGCATATGTTTCTCATTAATAACCCATTGCCCCCTCCAAAACGAAAAGTCAGAACGTATTTACAGGGTTGATGGAACTGTTCATGCTGGTCTTGCTCAAGGACACTCCAGCAAGGTGATACAGGGGCTTAACGTAGGCCCTTTGGTTGAAGAGGAGTCTTCTTTCACACCCACACCACACAGAGCTGTCATGCTAACATTGCTATTGCCAATTCCCTGCTTGATTAGTCATTATGCACTGTGGCAGGCAGGTGTGCGTTGTGTTGAAATGACCGCCTCTCAGGCAGGCTAGCTGAGTGGGAGCAACGCTAACTGTAAACTCTGATCAACACAACTAATCAAGCATCTCACATTCTAATGATCACTTACATGAGCTATTGTTTATGCTAAACATGATGTACACAGTGCAAACAATAAAAGATTTTAAATGAATAAGCACATCCTGCTATATAAACAACTGAGTCACACAGAATGGCTTCAAGTCTGCATCCTAAACATAACAGTGTGGTTTTGCAAATTGCCACCAATAATGGAAATAAATGAAATAGAATGCCGTGCAAAATTAAAGCACTTTATTTTTGATTGTGTAGAACACAGAAGGCCTGAAGCTCTTACGTGAGCTCAACGATGCTCAAACTTGTCTTTGCTATTCAAATGGAGAGCGACATAAATAAGCATAGTGAAGGGAAGGACATGGCACTCTTCCTCCACTTGATCTTTTGTTCTGTAGAGAAACGGTCGGCCTTTTGTAGAAACAGGTGCAGCATTAGGTGAAGAGGATGCTCTCTGCGTTGAGCCACAGTTGTATCATGTTTCAAGGCACTATCAGCAACAAAGATGGCATTTTACTGTGTTCAAATCTACAAAAGCTATTTATTGCAAAAAGGAGTTACAGAAAAGATATACATGTTTTGATTTGTTTAATGCCTTGGGTACTTTACAAAGACATAACAGCTCTGATATGCTCAGAATGCTGCAACAAGCAAGAGATGAACTCAACTATTAGATAGGACCGAATGCGTGTCCCTATTTGTTTACAGTTATTGAGAATGATTTAAAGATTGAACTGACAACTTTTAAGGGTTTACGTCACCAGGTTTTTGTCAGCTATGAAATGACCTGAGAAAATCAAGTTCATTTAAATCAGTATCCATGTCTTCTTTAATTCTACAAATGTATAATTACCCTTGTCTTTTTCCTTTGTTATACACATTGATATTACCGATTTAATTATTGCATGATTGTATTGTATGGAGCAGCTGTTTTTTTTCAGTGTCTGTTCATTTTCTCAAGGTCTTTCCCTCTTCCACACGAATCAAACACCCCCCAAAAGACAATAAAGCCTTCAACCCACCAAACATGTTATTCTTCGTACAACCGCACCTGTAACCGAGTCTGATTGGATTTTAGAGAGTCATTGTATGTAGAAGCCCACATATTAAGCATCTTAAAGTCTATGAGAGCAGCCAATGAAGTTTGTAAGTATGAGTAAGGATTTGATTGATTGATTGATAGTTTCCCAAATGATATGTCTTTTTTATATAATATAACATTTTTGAAGTGGCTTTATCTGTCCTAGCTGTGTTATTCTAATTTGGTCTCTGATCATTTGCATAATTGTTAACTGGCAATTACTGATACATACTATAGTTAAAGTCAGGTGAAGTTCCTAAATCCCAAATAGTTATCTTTACCCATGTATGTCCAACTATTAAGCTTTGTGATGATGATCATGTGGTTCTAGGGGCGCGGAGGAAAAGGCAGCATCTATGTGTGGGCATCGGGAGATGGTGGTAGCTATGACGACTGCAACTGTGACGGTTATGCCTCCAGCATGTGGACAATCTCCATCAACTCGGCCATCAATGACGGACGCACCGCCCTGTACGATGAGAGCTGCTCCTCCACCCTGGCATCCACGTTCAGCAACGGACGCAAGAGGAACCCAGAGGCCGGCGTTGTGAGTGTGCCTTTCTTTAAGCAGATAAATGTTTAAGTAATCTATGTAAAGTGTATCAAAGATTTCTGATATGGCCCCAGAAGTTGACTTTGTCATTGGGTACGTGCACTCTTAGCATTTAAAGACGACTCAATGCTCTGTAACCTTTTATGTCTCTCAAAGATAGACTGATCTGTAAATAGCTCCTTTTCAGTTGGCTAACAAGTACTGTATCCTTGGCCTTTTGGGAGATTGGACGAGACAAGGTATAAAGCTTAAGAAGCTGTTATTGCTGTCTGCTTTTGAAAAATAGAGGTTCAGGTGGAGTACTGTAATAGCTTTTTCTGTGATTACATTTCTGGACGTCCAGATGCATCATTTTGCTGTAGATGCTCAGAGCAGCTGGCATACTGTGTTGATCAGGGCATTCAGGTCGTAGCAGATGCTTCATAAGAAGGACAGTGTTTTTAAAGGCTCCCTTTTATGAGGTTATTAGGGTTACTTAAAGTGTTTTTTTTTCTGTTGAAGACAAGTAACAAATCAATCAGAAGAGAGATCAAAGGCAATTGAATGACTGACCTTAGCATACACAATGATCTGTAACTTCAACATGGCTATTTGACCGTTAAGTTTAAGAATTGTAGAAGGAATGGATGGGAGTATACTATATCTGAAAAGAGAGGCAAAGAATGCAAGACAGGTTGTGCCTTCTTCTTTGTATTCAGAAAATATACGTTGACCTTGAAGGATCGTGTCAGGAAAAGGAATGCTCTCGTAGCATGCACCCATCGAGATTAAAGACCAACACTCCATAGCATACTGATGTAAAAAACTATTTCCCAGTGTACAAAAGCAGCAGTGTTTGTGTTTGTGATTATGCAAATCACCTTTGGCTGTTGACAGAGCCACAGATCTTCCCTAGGGTTTCCCCTCTAATTCCAGTCAATCTGTTATCATTTCTAATTAAGCACCAAATTAAATAATCAAATGCTTATTCAGTAAATACAAGCATGACTAGTCTGCCGATGAGTGTACATAACAGTTCAGCCAAGTACACTGCACTTTTGTTTATCTTTTTCAAAATTGTTTCCAAAACGTATAAATACATAAAGCCAGAGGATTATATCGATTTAGCACAAGTCCGTAGAATGAAAATGCTTTCTGGGAAAATTGTTTATTGAATGTCTGAGATAGTAGCTTAGAGATTGCATGAACATTAGGGGGAGGAGAGGGGGTTCAGAAAAGACGGAGTGTTGTGTATGTTCTTCTCATTTGAAGAAAATAGTGTAATGTACATTTGCCGGAGCGTGAAGGGGAGAGCCGGTAGTGACTAAGAATACTGTGATTGGGTTATTTCAGGCCACCACAGACCTGTATGGAAACTGCACGCTGCGTCACTCCGGGACATCAGCAGCAGCTCCAGAGGCCGCCGGTGTCTTTGCTCTGGCTATTGAGGCGAAGTATGTACTACAAACATCTTTTATGTACTATTTGTGATTAATGACATTAATACATCCCGTGTTTGATCCCTGTATGCTGGAATGCAGGACACTCTGAACATAAAAGTCACAATGACATGCTTTAAACCATAAGATGTAGATATGAGATATAATAGAACAATGTTATATGCTACTCCTTCAGGAACTGCTTGTGTTTTTTAAGTTCAACCTTGAGCTTTAATACCGCACTGATGTATCTGACTTCCTCTGTCAATCTCCACTCTCAGACCCTTTATTCTCTCCGTGTCTCTGAACTCCTTAAAAGCATGAATCAGTTCTTCACATCACTTGCTTATTTATCACAACCATCAACTAAATGAAAAGAAAAACAGCACTTATTGTGTTGCCCACAAAGTACATACTTGTGCCAAGGACACACATCATCATTCGTGCACTGCTCTTTATGTCTGAGTACGAGGCTAGAAAAATAGAGTTGAAATACTGTTACGCTGGGCTCAGCGTTTACAGTATGTTTTATTCATTAGTAGCTCTGTAGCAGAGAGACAGGAATGATAAAACACATTGCAGTACTTGGAAACTGTATGTACTAGGCTAAATGGTGATAGCAAAGCTTCTTTTATTGATAAAGAGTGTGTCAATAGTGCCATTATAACACTGTTTTACAAGTGGGAGTTTATGTTATAATCCTTGTGAATTCAGTCTAGATTGTTCCTTGTGGATAACAAAATAATTGAAAATATATGCCACTTAAGTAAAGCCGCCCACACCTAATTAAACGAATATGACAAATCTAAAACCTGGAGAATTAGTGCTTCACAAATCCCAGGGGAGAGCCTTTCCTTTCTCTCAGACACTTCATTTCTCACATTACAGGCCGACTACATTCTGCTGCCATTAACTGACACCAGTTAGGGGAGTTGAGCAAAGAAACCCTGTTTGCTCTGCACACACAATAATGATGTTGCTGTTGGGAGGAGCGGATGCTCACCCTGTCCGACGGCAAATAACACACAAGGCTGTTAGGACGACTGCACGGCCATTTTACTGCCCAAACACACTTGAACCAATGGCAGGAGTCAGTGAGTCAGCCAGAACAAAGCTGTCACTCACTACACACAGCCAGATAATGGAGGGAGACACAGACAAAGGCAACCATCTGCTTACAGTACATACACTAGGAAGTGTACATAACTGAAAGCATGGACGAAATGCAAAGCCATTAAATATAAATGTGTTAATATTTTATTTCATATATGCCTACTAGTTATTTTTTACACTATCGTCTCTTCTCCATTACTAAGTCCTTCCTTCATCCTCCTGCCTCCGTCTTTTGCACATTGATGACTGTTCTTTCCCGCCTTAGCCCTGACCTGACATGGAGAGACATGCAGCACCTGTCAGTCCTGACCTCCAAGAGGAACCAGCTCCATGACGAGGTCCACCAGTGGAGGAGGAACGGCGTCGGTCTGGAGTTCAACCACCTGTTTGGCTACGGTGTTCTGGACGCTGGGGGCATGGTGAAAATGTCCAAGGAATGGAAGACTGTGCCTGAGCGTTTCCACTGTATAGCCGGATCCATTCAGGATGTCCAGTAAGTCACATTACTACTCTTTTCTTCTAAATGCTATAACACAACTACCATTTGCACAGTTTATTCTACACTTTCCAACTCAGTTCGACACAACATTGAAGGGAAAACACTACTGAGCAAAAGAGACACACTCATCTAATTACTGAGTAATTCAATACAACATCTGCCATGGGAGAGTCTACTTCATAACCCAGTCATATTTAGATTAGCTGTCAGTCTGTCTAATGGTCCTGTAGATTTATAATGACAGACTGATGTCCTGACATCCGATTTGATAATGAATGCATTTCTCTTGTACTCTGACAGTTCATCGTAAACACCATCCCATGAATGGCGTCATTTTAAAATTTGATTTAAGGGAAGATGTAGGATTTTTTCAGTTTTATAAAAAAACATGAATTATTTTAAAATCCCCTTCCTATTGCCCAACAGAAGTGTAATTCATGAGCGATAAAACACAGTTGGTCTGGTGTGTCCTGTAACTTATAGTGACTTATCTTAACTCATGTTACCAAATGGTATTGCTGTTCGATGTAAGTCAGTTAGTAGTACTGTATAAACCCTTTCTAAAGTGTTACTATAGGTAAGCACATTATCTTAACGCTAAACATTATAGTAGCATAGCATTAGCACTTTTAGGGGCGACTATGTCCTTTATATTGGTTTTGAACTATAATTAGATTGTATTTGCGATACGAGTAAAGTTTTTTTTGTTAAAGACCATCTGGACTCTGCCTTGGAGGAGATCCTCAGACACATTGAGCAGCATCTTCCCTTGTGTCACCCATCTTCTTCCCCGCATCTTCTCTATCCTACCTCCAGCCTCCATCCTTGTCTTTTTCCACTCTCACCTCCTCTTCCTCTCTACCCTGACTCCCTCTGCTACCCTTCCATTGCTCATGTCTTTGATCTCCCATGTGTGTGAAGCCTGGTGTTTTCCTGTGGCTAGCCCTCTTATTAGTTCTAAATAAAGCACCACAGCGTGACGTGTCCTGGAAATACTGTCAATCGAACTGATTGACAGGCGGGATTCCAGGTGGAGTTGCTCATGTGTGTAGGTTTGTGTGCCCTAACACTGAACTTTCATTGTGAAAGTGTCAATGTGTGTGTGAAGATAAAAAAACAGACTGAATACGTTTCGTCTGTGCATTTTATTGCCACCATCAACACCTCAGATTTCTTATTTTAGCCTCTAATCAGTGCTCCACAGATGAGGCAGTCAGGACAAAATGGTGTGAAAGTGTGCATGTGTGTAAAAAAGAAAATGCCTCCCTTAAGGGTAGTGCCAGATAAAAAGAGAAAATCCCTTAAGTGTTATGTGGCTTACATCGTCAGGACAACACATGCAAATGGTGGGGCTTGTCCTTTCATGCAGAGAAGATGTGCCTTTATCCGTCCCATTATCAGGTCTTAGCTCATAAACAGACAAACTGATCATAGAGGTATAGGAGAGAGATATTTGTCTCTTTTCTTTATTTGTTTTAATCAGTTCACTGGTTTTCCGCAGCACGACAGGGATAATGCTGTCTCTATTGGAGGATATGTAATTACAACAAGCCCACCTCTGGTGACAGTGTATCGCCAGAGAAAAAATAAATAAACACCAACATAGCCATGCCTGCAAAGTCTCTCAGCATTGATCTGCTCTGCCAGACTGTGGCTCACTTAGCTGGAGGTGAACTTCTCATTATCAGTGGAGCTGGCATGCAGGGTCCCACTGAGCGGTGGGGTTGTTTTTAATCTGCACCGGTCTTACCCTTCAGAGGCATCTGTCTCTCTGCTCTCTGACCGACCGCTGTAATTACTCTGACACATTATCTGATGGGAACTGTGCCCCTGCTGCGCACAGAATCATTCAGGGGTCAAAAGTGAGATGTTAACATATTCACTGCTGGATTTAGTTTTACAAAATCTTACATTTTAATAAACTAATAATAGTAATTAAACCAGAGAGTATTGGTGATTGGATCACAGAAGCCATGATGCTAGTTGGGAATTAAAATGGCCAATTCCCCATCCCTACCCCTAACTTCCAGAGCACTTTCCCCGACCACACCCATATTACAAACAAGCATTCATTTTGATCAACAACTGCAATCCTACACCGACCCACACGCTGTTGGTAACAAACAGTCATGGCAGTAAATTGCCAGTTTGTAAAATAAATCTAACGCTGTATTTTTATACTTTCTTTTAAACTACAACCTATTATGTCAATAGAAAAACTGTAATTTGGTAATTACAAACATCTCAATATGAATTCCAGGGCGTAACTTACTGTGAAACACCCCACTGTGAATTGTTCTGTTTTTCTGGGACTAGTAATTTGCTTCATGAGCCCGCTGCACGCACCTCCCTGTGCTCAGCATAGTGCTCTATTAATCATTTTTCAAACTGAGTGTTGTTCCACACATCGCTCTCAGTCTCTGTTTCTTGTCTTCCTGTGGCGCGGTCCCAGCCTTTAATAATGTTATTAAGCCTCCTCATAGCCTTTGGCCAACACCCCTGCCCTGCTGGGTTCTCACTCTTTCCTTCCATCATCCAAAGAGATGAGAACAGCAGTATGTCCTCCCGACCACAAAGCAATAACAATACCTGCCTGCTTTTACGATCTCCTCTGAACAAATCCATCGTGACAAAAAGAAAAAGGATCTCTTCATGCTCTGAAAAGCAGCCAGAATTCACAGGCGGTCTAGTACATGACATGCTGTAAATTTAGTTTATTGGCAATAGGCCTTAGTTGTCTATATAATAAAAACTTTTCTATAAAACAATTGTAAATATCCAGAGGCGGTGAGATTTAATCGCACATATTTGCAGCTTTTGCTCATGCTACAATGATTGCATAGAACTGAAACTTCCCTCTTTTCTTTCTGAACTTAAACCATAATAGACCTTTGAACAGCAAGTGTTACAATTAACGTGAAACAGGCATCTATATTAGAACATAATGTCAGAAATGGGTGGCACCAAATACAATGGATGATAAATGTATTATAGGCCAGAGTATTTTCTTCCAACCATTAGATATATTATTGGGTAAAGAAAGCAGACAAAAGACTCTCTGCTTTTGTGTGACGAACAAAGAGTCTTGATTCTCCGTCAAGGTGGGGTGGTTCCATATGAAAACTAGGTCAAGTACTTTAGTGACTACAAAATTCAAAGGAGAGCAGGGAAAGGTGTGAGTAAATGTAAAAATTAAAATGTATTTCATTCTTAACTCTTTTGACTCGTTCCCTGACTTTTTTGTTTTTGTTTTAATTTCTTTATTAAGGAGTGCAGATTTAACAGACAATAAACAATTTTTCACATTTACTGGTTTTGGTTTTCTTATTACAGGACATAGCTCGTTCCCTGACTTTTTACTAATTTAGAACACTGATATTTGATTTTTTTCCTCGGCTTCTCAGCTACACGGTTTTAACTTCTTCAACCGCTTTCTCCTTTCTCCAGTAAAGTCCAGTCTGGCAACAAAGTGTTGCTGACCATCAACACCGACGCCTGTCAGGGGAAGGACAACTTTGTCCGCTACCTGGAGCACGTTCAAGCGGTGGTCACGGTCAACGCCACCCGCCGCGGCGACCTCACCATCAACATGACCTCCCCCATGGCCACAAAGTCTCTCCTGCTGAGCAGAAGGCCCCGTGACGACGACGCCAAGGTGGGCTTCGACAAATGGCCCTTCATGACCTCCCACACCTGGGGCGAGGACCCCCGCGGGACCTGGGTCATGGAGGTGGGCTTTCAGGGCGATGAACCCCAGCGCGGAGCCCTGAAGGAGTGGACTCTCATGCTGCACGGAACACAAAGTGCCCCTTACATAGACCAGATAGTACGTGATTATCAGTCCAAACTCGCTATGTCCAAAAAGGAGGAGCTGGAGGAGGAGCTGGATGAGGCTGTAGAGAGAAGTCTGAAGAGCTTGCTGAGTAAAAACAACTGAATTCCCGTCTGCATGTTGCCAAATTTATCAATTTCTCTTATTCTTATCCCTCTCTGCAATCTCGCTCGGTCCTTCTCCAAGTCTCCTTAGTTCTCCCGCTCTTCATCTCCCCCCCCCGTACTCTACCTCTCTCCCCCTCCTCAATCTGCTTTTTGTTATCAAGTGTTTCAATTAGCCCCCAACTTTTAATGAATGTTTCATGTAATCCAATCATGATAAAAGTGTTATTAAACTGTTCTAGAGAAAGCAAACCATATCACCTGGATTTTTACACTCTACAGAATTGTACATAGACCAAATAATAACCACTCTTTAATGCTCTTGCTTTAACTGCCCTGCACCTCTCCTCTGCCAACTGTTGTACAGTTTGTGACTGTAAATGATTTTCTGTGTCATTCTACTTAAAGTTTAATATCTTGCAAACAGAGCAGTGATACTTCTTTCAGTTTATATTTTTATGTGACATGCACTGTTTATATAAACAAGGAAAATATTATGTGATAAATTCTGCAGCCTGTGGTCCTTAGTTCATATTTCATAATCTTTGACGTATGCTATAATAAATCTATTCAGCTGTTTATTAAAGCATGTGAGTGATTTGCAACACAAAACCAAACATACTGAGAAAGAGTAGCAGGTCATTTGTTGTCATATCAAGGGCCAACTATTTGAAAGGGTAACACAAAGAATTTGATCACAAAATCATACTCAAGATAAAAAAGAGCTTAGGCCTACTTGTACCTAAAGAAGTATTCCCCATTCAAAGTAGGCTTACTTTGGAAAAAAACAAATGTTGGCTACTTGTAAAAAAAGTGTAAAAAGGTCTGTTAAAAAATGTAATCCGAGTTTACACAACTGCGTTACATGTTTTTTAAGAGCAAGTGTCAAGAAAGGCCTACACATTCATCGAACAACATCACAGACCTTGGTCATCACACAACACAACCAACTCAACCAGACGTAGTTTGGAAAACTAAACAAAGCAGCAAAGACAGCTATTTAGACCGCGGCGGGTGAACGCGACAATATTTCACATACATTATAAAACATCACCGACAGAGACAATCACAAACACTGCGCAGTATACAGTACATACACAGTTCACACGCAAGCCATAGTTACTATATGAGAGAGTTGTTGTTAACGCCCCCTCTTTACAGCAGAGTTATTAGCATAATAAAAGGTGAACTCACCTGTTTTGGCGTAAAGACGACGGCATTTTTTTGAGTGTCGTGCACCGAGAAATCTTCCTTATGTTGCTCCAGGTTTAACTTGTCTTTTCATTGTAACGCATATAAAAAAGTATTAGTTTTAACAGAAAACAGCTACAGTAAAAGAGGCTTTGTAAAGTAGTTAACGCTATTTAATGTCACAAAGACCAGAACGGCCTTATAAACCCAGGGTAACATTTCCACGGTAAGTCAACATTTATGGTTTTAGCATTTAGCATGTTAACTACAGCCAGAATCCACCTGTTGGTGACGCAGTATCGCAGGTGTGTTTGATTTGGTTCACTTTGCATTGAATCCGTGATTCATTAAGGTAGCGACAACCTTTGCCACTATGCCGGACCACAGTAATGTTAACCATAACCATAACGATGCAAGAGCTCATTTTATAGTATCGTTATACACTTTCGCAGGCCACTTCTTTCACTAAATCCTAGCCCCGCTTCCCGCAGAGACTTGCACCCCCTGACATCCGGCCAGTAAACAAACACATTTACCATTTATCTGTTCCAGAGTCAGCTGAGTGCAGCGGGTCACTGCTGCCCTCTTGTGGTCGCAGCTGTTAATTTGGCCAATATTTTTCACATGATTATTGTCATGTTGCTTTTGTGCTTACTCAGTAACCAATGTGACTTAAATGAAGGAAAGTATCTCATAATATACAATACAATTAACGAATTTTAAAGAAATGGAAAAAAAAGCAAGTTAAATAATACAGTGAAGAGAGTTGCACCTCTGATGTTTTATTTCCATTCACCATGTGTATTCTCTTCGGGCTTTAAGACTTTTATAGACTGCTTAGCTTAATCAGTTCAAATATGTATTATCTTCTCTGACCCCCTATACTCGTTCTTCATAACAAATTATCTTTGTGTTTTCCTTTTTCTGGAGAAATACTAAATGCATGGGGGACATTGTGAACTACTGAAAGTCACATAAAAACATGAATGAGTTTCCTTTGGGTGATGCTGCACTGATAAAAAAAGTCAGGGGGTGAAGGATCCTGACATCAACATCTGTGAATGGGTTAATTAATAAAAAAACAGGTAGTAAATATGTGTGTGTAGTGTTTAGTGTGTGAAAGCAGAACACAATATTAATCAACACAGTATCAATTGAAATTTGATTCTTTATTTATGATTCAATATATCAAAGCAAATTAATTCACAGCAAAATAGTGCTGAGGTCAGGCAGTGGCATCCAATTGTAAAAATCTTCTCAAAGGGGAAAATTGGAGTTCTAAGACAGAGTTCAGAGGGGTGGCACAACTTCTCAGTTTTGTATTCATTTTATAATTGTTTTATTGGTGGCATGGAGCTTCTTTAAATTGTCCCAAGTTTTCAGACAGTAAAGGACTTATAGCATGAGCATGGGTGTTAGTCGAACAACAACATCAGTACTTATGAACCAGCAAAACCTATTCTGGACGCAAGACCAGAGACTGCAATCAAATGGAAGAGCATTGAATATCAGAGCAGGAATGTGTAGTTGGTATTTAAACATGGTTGGTTTCCTTCAGAGACAAACATGGCCTTATTGCAGCAGTTTGAGGAACACTGGTATTAATCAGCATCGTGTTCTTGTTAGTTGACCTTAACCATGTGACCCTGGTGGAGTTGACAGACTCTTCATGTCAGGTGACGGGGTTTTCAGTACTTCTTCTTGCTGGACTTTTCGATCATGGTCTCCACCACCATGGAAGTCTCCTCGTAACCTTGAACCTTGCGGCCATTGGAGAACTTCTCCACAGACTCCACCACCTCCAACTTCTCGTAGCTCATGGCTTCTGGGGAATAGGTGCCGGAGCTGGTGCTGGTGCCGGTGCTGGAACCGGAGCCAGAGCTGGAGCTGGAGCTGTTGCTGGCCCCACGAGGCGCAGGCTTTGGGGTGGGCCCATTGTCATCTCGGCTATTCTTGCGAGGGTCGTCAGCTGGGGTTGGAGCTTTGGGGCCAAAGGGTGAAGGGATGGGGCTCGGATCTTTAGGGTTCGGATGAGGCTCTACGTTCTTATGCTTACCTTTGCCTCCGTTGTCCTTACCTTTTCCCCCTCCTCCTTTGAAGGGAGGGTTGGGAGGTGGAGGGTTGGGAGGTGGAGGATTGGGAGGTGGAGGCTTGGGGTCGACTATGGGCTGAGGAGATGGAATCGGAGGTGAGGGTGAAGGAAAGGGTGTGATGGGTTCATAAGGCTCATAAGGGGGCATCATACCATCTCTGATAGTGACGAAGATGTGTCCGCCTGATGGTGTTGAGGTGCAGAAGCATGGATCCGGGTAGCTGCCGTCGCCGGTGACAAGAACGTAACGCCCCTTGGTGTAGAAGTCAGCGATTGGCTCAGGCTTCTTGTACTTCCTCATTCTGTCTCTCACGATGTTACAAAGAGTATCAAAGGCCTTGCTGATCTGAGCTCCGTCTGGGACATCCTGTGGAGACACTCCGGTGAGAACAGATCTCTTCTCTCTTCCCTTCACGCTCTCCTCCTTCACTTCCATGGATGGGATCCCCTTTGTCTCCTCATCCGGTGCCTCTCCAGCAGCACCACCATCTCTTTCCTCCTGGCCACTGTCCATCACATCTTTCGGGTTCAGCTCTTTCTTCTTCAGGACCTTCTTGGCCATGATCTTCTGGCGGGGCTTGATGCTGGTGATATCTTGGATAGCCTGGGTGATATCTAGAAACCAATTAGGTCATCAGTCAGTTGTGAATGCAACACAGCAAAAATGTTCTGGGATGCCAAAGACAATAGCATCTATGTAAGGCTGAATCTTTAGGAGAGAGTGTGGTTATCGCTACTAATGGCGGCTGATTGTGTGTGCATTCAAAGGTGATATCCTTACCTCTGCCCCTGCTTGATGCAGTGGGCGTGTGAGTGTAGTGGTAATTAGAGGTGAACAGGGTAATGGGGGTGCCAATTATCGCTGAGTTCAACCTGCAGGAAAGAAGGAGGTGAAATGTCAGCCATGTTACAGCCATGTACGCAACAGCAGCTTTGCTATGCAGAGAAATCTGGTGAGAAAATCAGTAATTAATATGTTTAAAAAAAGAGAAACAACAGGTAACTTTAAATAACTCTCATTCAGCTAATCTGCCATTACAAAACCCCTCTTTCTTTTGTTGTGTTAGAGCACTTGAGGTAATCATTTGTTGTCACCCAGTGCCATCTGCTGGCTGATTCTGCACTCTACATTTACATAGTTCCAACATGTACATAAACAAACCAAGAATGTACATTGTACCACTCAAATGACCCATTTTGTTATTTTAAAACTACAATATTTTAGAGTCAAAAGCTTTAAACATTGCTGTTTTTACATAAAAGAATGACTTGACAAGAGTTACAAGATGATTATCTTGTACCTGTTAGATGTGGGAAGGTCCATGAAACAGGATTTAGACTTTCATGTTTGGAGATAATATTTACATAACTACAAATAATAAGATAATACCACCATTTCACAACCTATTTTGACACATAGTCAAACATTTGTGCTGGGGTTGTGCACTCTGAATCTGGTCTCATGACCTTAAATTAAACAAAATCTATGTTCAGCATCCGTTTAATGAAGGAATTTTACAATAAATCTAAATGTATGACTGTTTATCAAAACATTTTTAAGCCTTTTTTGAAGTGCTATATTTCTGTACATGCCATTCTCCAGTCAGGCCTTGCATGCCTGATAAAGCTTGTTTCATTGTATGAGAATCACTGGAGGTAGTGTACCTGTTATCTTCATTCTCGATGATCCTCTTGTATCTCTCCAGCTCATTCTCAAGGGAGGTCTGGTACATGGCCAGGTGGCGACATTCATTGGTGAACTTCTCGAGGGACCGCTCAGCTTCCTCGATCTCCTTGCGCAGAGAATCGATTTGATCGTTGTACATCTGGATCTCATTGTCATAACCCTCCTGTGTACCTTTGATGGTTTGCTCCAACACTGTAGTCTGAGAGAAGAAAAGAGGGGAAAATGAGTTGCGAAATTATGACTTAAAACATTACAAAGTCCATTGAGGAGATTTGACAGTAGTATGTGTTTCTAATGAAAGTGAGAAGGCACGAAAAAACTGAAATTAATTTGTGTCCAACGTATTTTATATAAAATTGTATAAAGAAAAACATTGATTCCAGATAAATTAACAACACTGTTTTGAATGCAAAACACCCTATAGAGACTCACAATGTGGTGAGTTTGATATAACCCAC